AGGCCCGCGTAGACGCGGCCTGGCTCTGCGGGGTCGCTGCGGCGCGGGGAGCAACAAAGGCGGGGACGCGGCGTCTGCGCGGGGACCCGCTGGGCGCGGGCACTGCCAGCCGGGGCCGGGACAGGGGCGGGGACGGGGCCGGGGACTGCCACCGGGACCGGGACTGGGAGCGGGACCGGGCCGGGGGCGGCGCCTGCTGCCGGGCCGGGCTCGAACTCCCACCTGGCCCAGGTGCGCAGGTGCGCAGGTGCGCGCCCTTCCCTCCCCGGCTCATTGTCGGCACACGGAGTCTGTCACCTCGGCCCGGTTCCGCTCACGGCCGCGCTGGGTCGTGGTGGGGCCGGGCGTGCACTGCAATCCGGGAGCTGGTGCAGCGCCGACGTGGGAGGCGGCGGGGGTCTAGCTTTCCTGCCTCCATTTCCAAGGAAGAGGGCTCAGAGCCGATTTCCAAGCCCGGACCTGGGAGAGCGCGTCCTCGTCAGCCCTGTCAGCCCAAAGCCCAGCAGATCCTGTTCCACAACCTGCTTGTCTGCCTTTTCCATAAATCATCAAAAAAATACCGTTTTTAAGTATGCCCTGCAATTTCTGGGGCTGGGATTGTTTTTCAGTGCAGATCAACTAGAAGCTCCCTTAACTCAGCAGCTGGGCTTGAATGAATGGTTTTGGCAGATTGTAGCGACTCCATAAAAGATGAGGTGGAGAAATCTTTGTGTTAGGGATTGCTCTAGTTAAAGTCAGTCTGAACTATGGAGTCTGGTGTCGTCTTAGGAAGATCCTTTGTTTGCAGACTAAAAACGAATTAGTTTCACCGTAGATGCTTTTTACAAAATACCAGTTACTGTGTGTGTATTTAGAGGGTCAGGATTAAAGCCAGTGTTTTTTGTTTTGTTTTGTTTTGTTTTTGTGAAAAGAAAAGGTTTTCATATCTCTATGTAAAAACAACCCAAATTCTGTCATGATTAATTCTGTCATCATTTAATCATGGATTTAAACATACTTTGGGCCTGATTTTATTTCATTTTAAATTATTTTATCTGCAAAGTGCTTGCTCCAACACAGATGCGCAGTTTCTATCGGGTCACTAACCATTTGTAACAGGTGGACTTACCTGACGGCAGGTACCTAGTACGAGGCTTTGGCTTCTAAGAAAGGGTATTTCCCTAGGGCCTTGATACCATCAGAAGGGCCATGGTCAACGGAGAGGGAGGGACACCGCCCTTGGCCCCTCCAGCCAGCCCGTTGATCCTTGAGGGTTGACACCAGCTTTGCCTCCTCCCTGAAACAGGCTGGGACTGGGGCAGTTTTGTAGGTTATGGGCTGAGTTATCCTGGAAACCGAAGATGAGTCTCTAAATATCTTTTTCTTCTTTCTTTTCTTCACCAGGGAGAACTGGAGAAGTTAAATCAGTCAACCGATGATATCAACAGACGGGAGACGGAGCTTGAGGTACGGAGAGCTGGGGCCCGTCCTGAGAGCTGCCACCCCCTCGTGTCACCTGGCTGGTTAATTTTATTTTAATAGCTGGAAGGTTACTGCTGGAATCCCTCCCCAGGGAATTGAGCAATAGGGGCCCTCCTGACAGGATAAAATACGCCCCTGACCTGACCGTGGGTGGGACGCCAGAGGATCTGATTTCACGTTGCTTCTCATCGTGGGCCAGAGCGCCAAGCCTGAGGGCTGTGCGGAGCATCGCCTGGTTGGATGCGTCTGTGGACAGGTGGGAAGGACTGCGTGAGAAGGAGCTGGGCTCTTGGGTGGGGAGTGATGGATGAGATAACAGAACCTCTTCAGTAGCTGGGGAAGTTCCTACCAATTGTGCTTCGGTATTTCCTCAGACTTACCCATTTCTGACTTCCCTGTCCTGACAAGGAACCCCTCCTTCCATTTCCTTGCTCAACTCTTCATTGTCTGCTTGTGTGTAGAGTGTAATTATCTTAATGGTGACAAAAAGCTGTTTAGACTGGGAAGGGCTTTCCTGCTGGGAAAGATCTTGAGAGACAAGAGCTCATTTGAATTTCGTGAGCATTTTCCAAGCTGTGTGTAAACAAGTTAGCGTTCTCCACGGCTACCAGTTAGTCCCCCCTCTTCAGCACTAGTTGGTTCTGCTCCATCAGCACATTGAACCCTGTGTGTATTCCGGAGCCTGGGACTGTCAGGCTGTCAAGCTGTCAGAAAACTGAAGGGATGTAGGGAGCTGTTGGCAGACTCTGTTTCTGTCTGAGGAGGAACAATGAGAAAAGTTGATAACGCAAGAAACACCTGGTTGGGAGAGTGAGGCTGTGGGAGTTAGGGTCTAATCTACCAGGAAGCCATTAGCAGTTCGACTTGAGACTGCACACATGTAGACTCTGGAGGTCCTGGAACTGTCGGCATGTGGATGAAAAAGCTTGCTGCGCTGCACTGAGTACAGGGCATCAGTGTGGCCCTCCACCCCACCCTTACCATGGTCCTATCCATGAACACTGGCTGCCTTTCTCCACAAGGAAAGTGAAAACTGGAAGTCTTTTTCAGTCATGATGAATTGAGTCTTTTTGTGATGTTGGGCATTTGAAAGCTCCGAATCTCAGCTATGTAATGCTTTAAGCAATAAAAACTACCATTCCTATAGGGCTTTAGCATTTACGAAGGGTTAGCACACTTAACCTCATTGTGTCTGTCGCAGCCACCTGGAACTGGGCAGCCCCGCAGGGTGGCTGTTTGTTTTAAGCTTACATTTACTAAAATGAAGATAAAGATTTAGTTTCTCAGTCACAATAGCCACATTTCAAGAGCTCAGTAGCTCCTGTGTTGGACAGAGCAGAGAGCACTTCAGTTATGAGAGAAAGTTCTACTGGCCAGGTTCACTGGCAGGACAGACCCCGGTCTTCCATCTCAGACTACACCCAGGTGTTCCCCTCAGCTCACAAATAAGAGTAGACAAGTTTGTTTTGTTTTGTTTTGTTTTGTTTTTTAAATATTGAAGATACTCCTTTTTTAAAAAAAAAAAAAAAGAAATTGGAGGTATCCCTTTTTTTTGGCTATAGGGTTTGTGCACTCTCCAGACAGAGAAAGAAGGTGAGAGCACACCTCAGGAGGCATGGCCATATTGCATCCTCTCCTCCACTCTCAGGATTCAGGGCATGCATGCACACATGCTCGGTGTGTTTTTCAAGCCACCAGGCCTGGAAATCGAATGGCAGTTGGCCATGTGGGATCTAACCACTTTAAACATCATGTCACAGGCTGACCTTTTTTTTTTTAAGTGATAATTAATTTATGGTATGTTCTCACCTACTGCCTGCTGACCAGCCTAGGTAGAAAGACGGCCCCGGTCTCTCGGCCTTTGCCTTCTGGGGTGAGAGCGGTTAGTCTGTTAAACTCTTTTAGCTCTGATTTCCGATTCCTATTTCTGAAAACACTTAAGCGTTCGTGTGTCGCAGGAAACCTCTGGACGGGTGTTTCCTGCCTTGCGCTGAGCCCTGAGTGAGGTGAACTGGAGGGTGCGAGGCAGGCAGCCAGGGCTGAGCGGTGTTATCCTCACGAGTCTGACTCGCAGAAGTACAGCACCGCCCCGTAAGTTGTTGCAGCAGGCACGTGGGGGAGAGGAGCAGCCTGGCCCTGCGGGCTGCGGGGAGATCTGCTCCTGGCTGAGCCTGAGGCCGCGCAGCGGGGCCAGTTCATGCTCTGGCCCGCCTGATGCTGTGCCTGTAGTCCCAGCTGCTGTGGAGGCTGAGGCAGGAGCATCGCGACAGAGGGGCACCCCGTCCTTAGAAAGAAACAGCTGAAGTTTCAATACGTTTCATTTAACCTGTAGTACTCAGGGGAGTGTGACGTCCCGGCGTGGGCCAGTGTTTAACCTGCAGGCCTCGGGGGAGTGTGACGTCCCGGCGTGGGCCAGTGTTTAACCTGCAGGACTCGGGGGAGTGTGACGTCCCGGCGTGGGCCAGTGTTTAAACAGTGAGATGTTGCCCATGTCTGTGCTGGCGTCAGGGGACTGTGCGTGTCGTGCACTTGAAACACGTCTCACTGGGACCGGCTGCATTGCCAGTGTGGCTCTGGGCTGCACAAGCGTGACTGGTGTTTCCTGCCAGGCTCATGGAGGAGGTGTGGGCTTGTACCCGTGGTGCACAGATGCTCGGAGCCTGAAGGGAAGGAGAGTATGTGTGTGTGTGTGTGTCTGCCTGCCTCTGTCTGCCCGTGGTGGGCTGTATGCCTTTAGTCAAGCACTGGCACCAAGCGGGGTGAACAAGGCAAAAAAAAAAGACTGTGCCCTCAAGGAGCTGACTTTTATTTATTTATTTATTTTGCTAGAGGGTATTTTTTATTTTTTTTAATTTGCTAGAGGGTATATGAGAGAAAGAGAAAGCGTCTCCCATGGGCTGATTCTGCCACAGTCGCCTCTCCCCTCCTCCCTCCTTTCTAGATCTGAGGCACACGCACGGGTACCTGGTATGTTTCTTGAGCAGGTGGCCAGCGTTTTGAATCCAGGGCCAGGATTCAAACCACAGACAGCCGCGTGGGATCTGGCTCCCTTAACCACCAGGCACAGTGGTCCAAGTTCGTCTTTTGGCTGGGGCGAGGAGTGGAGGAGTGGATGATCATCCCCGAGGGTGGGACTGCAGGAAGAG